AAAGAATAGACAGAAAGATCGTGTTTACTTTTTTGTTCGCCTTCGACCAAGAGTGACGAAGTCGTTGATCGTTGCCTCGCCGATCGTCTTTTCTTCCCGAGTTCCGTGCGTGCGTGTGAGTGTGACTCGAGGGAGTTTAGAGAGACCCGGGAATACGAACGAATTGTGCGAGGTTTGTAGTAATTATAATCGTATCCGGAGAATCTCGACGGAGAAGGGAGGAAAAGACGCCCGGTCGAACGAGAACTCGTCGATCTTTTTTTCTTTTTAAACGACGATCGGTTGCGTAGGAGCTCCCAGATCGATGTTTGTGTGCTCAATTTCTAGTTCGTAGCGAGAAAAAGCGAGAGAGAAAGAGGGGAGACACCTTTGCATAGAGATCGAGAGCGGGTGTAGATTTACGATCGTCGGGTGATAGATCGCTCGTACACGCATCATCGTGATCACGAATCATCTGAGAGGAAAACACTCGTCACTAAAAGTTGAGTAACTCCCGTGTTCGAATATATATATATATCATTGTGTAAAAATAAGGAGGAATTTTTTGCTACTTGGAGATCTCTTTTCCTAGATCATTTTTGTTTTTTTTTTTTAATTGTATTTTACATATAACATAGAAAACGTTCTTTGCCTGTGGTGAGATCCATAGAACGCGTTGAAAAGTAAACGTTTAAGATAAAAGACTTAGATTATACTGAATATATCAATTCTCGAGGGAAAAAGAAGAATCGATCGTCGATCGATGAATTTGGATGAATCGTGGACACGATAGTGTTAGCCCGTAGAGTAACGAATACTTCATATTGCGTTTCACATTCTGTATACCGTATAGTCTCGCCCCATAAATATATAGATATATACGTGTGTGTGTATGTACGTATATACGAGTATATCCGTATGTATACACACATATGTATTTGGTTCTCTCTTGGAGACAATAATGATTTCTCACGTTGACGGCGATTTTCGTGAAAAATCGATGATGAAACAAAGATTCTGTAAAGCGCGAGAGAAAGAGAGAGAGAGAGAGAGAGAGAGCGAGTGCAAAGAAATACAAAAAAAAAACAATGAGAGAGAGACAGAATGAACGAGAAAGGTGCAACGATGAGAACTTTAAATCGATTCTTTTTTTCTCTCATCGTGTCGAGCGAGTAAAAAAAGAAAAAAGGGAGGTTAACGAGAATATATCAAGATTCAAAGAGTATACACACAGGATTTTGTAGGTAATGTTAGTCTTCAATTGTATGTTGGTCTCTTATAAACGATGTCGCAGAGCTTGTGTGCTTAACAAGACATTAGCTACCCTGTATCTCACCTTGTTAAATAAAGCTAGGCGTGTTTAATACAAAAAGAAAAAAGAGAAAAAACAAACAAACCTGACGAAAACAAAAAAAAAAAGAAACACTTCGATGAGCAAAAAACGGGAAACACACACGGGGGTAAAAAGGAAAAGACGATCAACTGTATATTTTGGTTTACCTTTTTGGAAGGAAACGAGGTCACGCAATGCGCTATTATTACTTTATCGTTGTTGGAGTGAAATTGTTGTATTTTTGAGAATAGAAGAGTGTTTTTTTTTTCTTCTTTTTCTCTAAAGGAGGAGGGTTAAAGAGAGAATATTCTCGGGTGGAAAATACGCGCGCGTTGCTTTTGCGCCCAGTACTCTCTCGTTATTTATACGTTTCCATCGATCCAGCCTCCTCATCCTCTCCTCCCTGGAGAGGAGAGACTAATTCTGTAGTACCTTGCGCGACCACGTTTCTGGTATGCTGCATTTTATTGTTGCTACCTCCTTTTAGAAACGAGCCTCGACGAAAGCTAGCCGCGGCTTTCGTGGAACGCTAGGCTCGAGGATCCGCGACAAATCGAACGATACGGGATCTCGGGAGATTCGAGAATGGGGACCTGCGACAGTGGTGTGTGTTGGGAGAAGGATCATGAAAAAAAGAAACGGGGAAAGAAATGTAGCTTGTGTTAGGTGATTTGTAATTGGGATTAGGCGGTAGTGAGTTTGTTTTGTTGCTTCTTTTGGATACTTGGAGAGTTGGGTACATTTTATTTGGTATGTTGAGTGGAGAAGAATGGGTGCTTAAGGGATTTGCAGTTAGCGATTTAGTATTAAATTTCCAAAATTTGGTTTAGAAGCAAATTTTAACAATGTTTGTAAATAAATTGTGAGTCATGCTACGAACCATTAATTAGGTAAATTCTATTTGGCATATTGAGTGAAAAAGAATGAATACCAAAAGATCGAAATATTGACAAAATTAGCAATTACTCCAAAATTTCGTTCAGAAACAGACAAATTTTGAAAATCTTTCTAAATAAATCACGAATTACATTACCGATCATTAAAAGTGCGAATAATTGCTCACATTTACATTCTTAAAATTTTCCTCCAAGAAAGGTTGATTGAAATCGAAAAACGACTAAAACTTCCAAACTCACAACAGACACACCAATATCACGAATCTCCCTCGGACCTCGAAATTATCCCCTATCAATCGATTTGAGCCGAATCCAGCCAAGAACGACCACCGATCGATAGAAAACGAAATCTCGGTGAACGGTGAAATATTTTTTCTTCCTCATTTTTCAAGGCAGAATACAAAAAAAAAGAACAGAATTACGATAAACAGTAAATGTAAGATTGTCGCGTGTCCTGTTCACGCAGAGCGTTCCTCTGTTTGCTACCCTCCTCGTTGCAATCGACATCAATCGCAGCGGTGTCTCTCGCGTGTTGTAGCACAGACGAAAACATCTCTGTGTACACAATATATCTATCTA